ATTCTTTTTTTTTTAAATTCATAATTTTAAATCCCATCAGTTTTGGTAGGAATTAAATTCAAAAAATTTTTACAAATTAAACTTTTTTCAGTTAAAGCATATATTTAGAATCAATTGTGTTATTACTTTTTAGAAATTATAAATTCTGTTATAGTCTCATAACCACAAATCTTATATCATAAATTTCCCTAACTTCAAATAAAATCGAATTTAAAATTGAATAAAATCGAATCTAAAATTGAATAACTTTGCTTTGTTTCAGAATTGATTTTTTTAAATAAATAAACTGGAACTTAAACTGAATCAAACCATATCAGACAACAAGTATATTGATAAGAAAACGTTGCTCTTTTTTAACTTGTAAAGATAAAGTTTTCGTTCGGAATAAAGGACAGTGTTCTTAATTCCCATATCAAATCCCGAAAAATAGCATTCAATTTAAAATAATAAATAATTTATAATTTATACTAGCGTAGACCTCTAGCTTAGAGTTAGTAAAAAAGTTAGTTTGTTTAGTTGGCAGTCGGCAAATATCGGTCAACGAGGATCTTTTTTTTTATTTTATTTTAGATAAGTTAGTCAGAAAAATATTTTTTTAGTTTTAGTCGGCAAAAAATAAAATCCCAAACCCCCCCCCCCCATCCTTCCTTCCATAAAAAATCTGCTCGGGACGACCCTGATCATTTTTACTCTCACTGTCTGTTTCTGCCAGTACCAAATACTACTACGTGCATTTTCCACATTAAAGCCTTTATTTGCAACAAGGTCTTTTAACAAGGCAAGAAACTGTTGGTTAATTCAAACTTAAATAAGAATTTCTAACCAAGTAAACTTTTACAATTCGCTTCCATTCGGTTTTTACAGTCTTAAAAATTTCAAACATCTAGTGGTTGCAAAAAATGACTTGAATGAGCTGGCAATCGAAATAAAATTATGTTGTTAATCTTTTTAACTCAAAATCGATGTGAGATGCATGATATCAAAAATAGAAGTTTACATCCTTGAAGTTTGTTTGCGTGAACTAAAAAAATTGAACAAAGCTGTCCAATAAAATTTTCGTTTTTCATTCAACCTGATTAGCTAGTAGAATAATAATATAAGAGAGCTTACTTTTAATGGATTGGATGGAAGTTTCACATCCAATCCATTGAAAGTAAACTCTCTTATAATATTTTCGTACTTTATAAAACAAAACCATTTTTAAATTCTAAAGCTCTAATAAAAATTTATTTTTCATTTATTTACAGCTATCTTTCTTATTGCAACATTGCATGGGGAAGTACGAATTACGGAGAACTCAAAAAACTTTATAGTAAACAAAAAAATGCTTGTAAGATTGTATTTAAGGTAAACTAAACATATACCAAATATTACTTTTTATGTTTAAAATGACTCATGGTATATTTCCACTTATATTTCAATCTTATTTTAGTGAAATATCTCATAAGTATCCTACAAAGTTTTCAGAGAATAACTTTATTATTCCAAGAATTAATTTAAAAATAAGTTCTTATCGAATTCAATATCGAGGACCTTTTTTATAGAAAAATTTAATTAAAATGTTCAATAAAGAACACTACTCAATAGAAAAATTTAAAACAGTTTCTAAAAGAATCTTACTTCAATTAGATTCTATATATAGATATCTATATATAGAAATAAAAATAATAACTTTTGATTTTGGTTAAGTAGCATCAAAAAATTAAAGCAAAACAAGTAGAGATCAAATTTTGCTTGGTTACCAAATAAAACATTCTATGGCGCGTTTCGTTTTTTTTCAATAAACATATATAACATAAAATCTATTTCAAGACTCCGGGTAATTTTTTTTATGGGTATTCATTACAGAAACAGCGTTCAACCTTTTCTGGCTCATGGTCAATTGAACTTAGTCTACGCAGACTACTAAATGATTGTTCTGCTGTTCAAGTTGACACTGGTTGGACCAGAATTATTTTAATAAAACGGAAAATTTCCGAGGCAATGCTTCTCAATCCAATTTTTTCGCGCGGATGAAATTTAGAGCTGATTAAAAATCTTCTAATTGAACTTTTTTTTCTGGTAGATCGTTAATGAAAAGATCCCGTTAAAACTGCAGTCTTTAATAATTAGGAAAATTGTTTTCTGGTAGATCGTTAATGAAAAGATCCCGTTGAAACTGCAGTCTTTAATAATTAGGAAAATTGTTTTCTGGTAGATCGTTAATGAAAAGATCCCGTTGAAACTGCAGTCTTTAATAATTAGGAAAATTGTTTTCTGGTAGATCGTTAATGAAAAGGTCCCGTTGAAACTGCAGTCTTTAATAATTAGGAAAATTGTTTTCTGGTAGATCGTTAATGAAAAGGTCCCGTTGAAACTGCAGTCTTTAATAATTAGGAAAATTGTTTTCTGGTAGATCGTTAATGAAAAGGTCCCGTTGAAACTGCAGTCTTTAATAATTAGGAAAATTGTTTTCTGGTAGATCGTTAATGAAAAGGTCCCGTTGAAACTGCAGTCTTTAATAATAAGGAAAATTGTTTTCTGGTAGATCGTTAATGAAAAGGTCCCGTTGAAACTGCAGTCTTTAATAACAAGGAAAATTGTTTTCTGGTAGATCGTTAATGAAAAGGTCCCGTTGAAACTGCAGTCTTTAATAATTAGGAAAATTGTTTTCTGGTAGATCGTTAATGAAAAGGTCCCGTTGAAACTGCAGTCTTTAATAATTAGGAAAATTGTTTTCTGGTAGATCGTTAATGAAAAGGTCCCGTTGAAACTGCAGTCTTTAATAATTAGGAAAATTGTCCTTGTAGAAGTTTTTTAAGTAGTTGATACTGCGTTCAGTATTATTTTATCCAATTACAAACTTTTCAATTCCTGTTAAATGACTTGTCATTTTACAGGAATTGGGGTTAGTTGATTCAAACCTATCGCTGAGGCCAACTAAAACTGCATCTTTGGCTGGTAATAAGTATCCTTGAAGCCAACTTCAAATCTTTCAGGTACTTTCCTCTTCCTGGGCAGAGCTGGTTAATCTAAATCCGTCGTTTTAGCAAATTCAGTTGCCGCATCGAAAAGTGTTTTCAGTGACTCAGTACGCAAAGATCTAAAAATTTGTTTCAGGGTCTCAATGATGGATTCAGCCTTACTAAAATTGAGTTGGCTTTCCTAAAGTTGAATGCTTGAACCTTCTAGGATGGTAAAAATGATTCAAATAAATTTTAATTTATAAAAGGTGTCACATGGCCATTGTTTCCATTTTGCATTTGGTAAGGTCAAGTTTGGTGGTAGGGTCTTCCAATCAAACCAGAATTGATCTGTAGTTACTAGTAACAGATATTAGAGATGGGTTGCGCATTATACATCTGGTTAGGCAAAATAAATTTAATTAATGTTCCATTTTGGTGTCCATCTTTGCTTTCATTTTGGTCTTTTAGGCTTGAAAACCGAGCGAGCCTCTTTGGTGAGCCTCTGGTAAAAGCTATGAACTTTTGAACGAGTGACATGATACTATCTTTATCATAAAAATTAGCGAAGTTTTATTTTATCAAAAAAAAAGTATTTTTATCTGAAAAAAAGATTTCCTCTTTCGTCAAGTTTTCCAAATTTTTATCTTAAAAACGATTTTTTGGGTATGTTTATAGCAAAGGATTATTTCTTTCTTCACTTTTTACGTAAAAGATTTGATTTTTTCCTCTGATTTCTTCCTCTGTTTAAAACTAAAAAATCGAAATAATATTTATAATAAGATTGGATAAAACTTCAAGGGAGGCAAACGAATTATCAAGAGGGGTAAGGTTGACTCAAGAGTGACAGCCTGTCCCCATTGCACCCCATACTCTGCGCCTATGATATTGATCGAGAAGAACTTTAAGTTAGCAGGAATATTAAATAGTTCAGAAGTAAATGCAGAACGTTATATGAGGTCAAGTGTGCAACGTATACATTTTATAGCTGTTGCAAAAAATGTTTCCGAAACTCATCAAAATAAATAACAAATTTTAAAATATTCTCTAGCTATATTAGTTAACTAACTTTTCGTATTAAATGAGGTTTGAAGTTAGACAATTATGGGCTAATCTTAACATTGTGACATCCATGGATGTTTATAATGTAAAAGTGAAAAGACTGTAAATAAAGGAAGTCTAAGAACGTGTGAAAACTTTGAACTTTATTGTTTCAAATCCCGTTGCAAAAAAAATTCAGAAAGGATTAAAAATCTTGGTAAAGATCCAGAAAAAAAAAAAAAAAAAATCAAACTGATGAACAAAACTCTATATATTATGCAGTGGCGGAACTTCAAAATTTGGGCCCCCCCGCAAAAGAATGTTTTTTTTGCGGAAAAGAGTTTTATAGTATAAATATTATTGAGAGTATAACTTTTTTTATATGAGGGCCCCTTATAGCTGGTAGGCCCGCAACGCAGGGTCCAGCGTCCAGTAGTTCCGCCACTGATATTATGATTTTTTTGTTTGTTTATGTATTCAGTAACCTAGCTTTTATTTTGGGACCAACCTTTACTTAGTGGCTGCCTGGAAAAAACTTCCTTAAATATGGCTTTCTTAAATATGGCTCTATCAAACATGGGATTGGTAAATTAAAGGACTTAAGTTTGAAGCATATGGGAAAGAAATAAAAAAACTTCAAGTCACAAGATTCATATGATAACATATTAGGATTTGCTCAAGTCAATATTTGTTGTAAGATAATAGAGGGCATATTTTTTTGCATGCTAGAAATTTCTAGCATACTAGGGGGTTGGAAACCCTAAGTGCTTTGCTGCAGCAAAGCATTTAGGGTTTCCGACCCCTTCCCTACATGCTGAAAATGATCCTCAGGATTTTAAAAGTATCTAATTTTTAAAATATAAATAAATGACTAAATAATAGCATTATTTTAACAGTTAGATAAAATATTACTTTTGGATTGTTTATAAAACAGTGCATATATACAGTGTATATATATTTAACTTAGAAAAATCCAAAAATCTGAAACGTTATCTTAAATAATGCGTGTATAAATTTTTACGTCTCGCTTGCGCGATCCTCATGGAACGTTCTGGATTTTAAGCAAGCAACGAGAAGGTTACCTGTGCATCAACTCGGAATTTCTTGAGCTAAGTGTTGCTGAAAACTTTAATTAAACTATAGCAGTCATGATGCAAGCTCCAATAATGGTCCTTAGTAAGTTCTTTAAATAATCATGTAAACTTTCTATCTAAAACTAGAACCGTTAGTTCTGTAAAAGATAAGTGTCTGAATTAATTAAAATATTCAATAGTTTTGTGATGATAAAAGTTAGTAATTTAATTGGTTTATTCTTGACTACAGATTTAATATGGTTCCTTGCACATATATAGGTGAATTTTGAATGTTAATTTTCACAGTCTTAAATTTTTTTTTTTTAAATACATATTGGGAAGTCATAACAGCCATGTTAGAAATAGTTGATATTAGTTATTTAGTTGATAGGGATGATAATAAATTTACTGTCTATTATTTTTTATGTATATATATATATATATATATATATATATATATATATATTTATATATATATTTATATATATATATATATATATATATATATATATAATATATATATATATATATATATATATATATATATTATACCAAATTGTTACTGGTTTTTCCTACATAAACATGCAGCATTTTCAGAAAGAAAAAAAAAAGGAGTGAGAGAAAAGATTTGCGTCCCATGCCAAACCCTTAGTCAATGTAGGGGCACTCCTTTATGGCAGCAGGCTAAAAGATAGTTGTGTATTTACTGATGCCCCTGGTAGCAGGCTATTTTGGTGTGGCATCAGAGATGCTATCTAAACACGCATTCATATATATATATATATATATATATATATATATATATATATATATATATATATATATATATATATATTATATATATATATATATATATATATATATATATATATATATATATATATATATATATATATATAGGCCTCAGCAGGAGTAAATGAGTGCAAAAATGGAGAAAAGCTCTCTTAAAATAAACACGACAAGCCATGCAAGCTACTCCTTTAAACAGCTTTTAGAGCTTTTAGTTTTTACGCAAGCTATCTTTTTATTCATTAAATAAATTGCTTATTAAATACAAAATTTGGTTTTATACTTGTTACAAGGATATACTTGAATGTTAATGGTTCAAAAATATATACATAATGCGTGTCCTTTATTGTGGATTGAAAAAATTCCATAAGCAGGCATTTTCTTTGGGTTTTTACTCTAGCTATCCATTTATTTATTAACAACTTTACTTATTTGATAAAAAGTTTAACAAATAAAAAGTTTTTACTGCTAATAAAAAATATTTTATATTTTTTTACTGTAATAGAAAGAAAAGAAACAGACTCTGCAATAAAAGTATTTATACAATTTCAATTTTTAGCAAAATTGTGCATGATATTTTATTATTTTGCTCAAATTGAGACAAATTTATATAATTCATTACAAACAATATATAAAAATATATGATTTATTATGTAAAATAAAAATTATTTCGATAGAAAAGCCATAGCACAGTGATTAGAGTCCTTGCTTTAGAGTCCAGGGTTCGAGTTCTGGTGAGGAAGAAAACAATAATCAGAGGTGTAAATTTTTAGATGTTTAAGTTTTGACACTTACAGGCATTGTACAAACTCCAAACTTTTGTATGTTCATGCTTATTTCAAATGAGAATGTATTGCAAAGAATTTCAGTGATTGGAGCTTGGGAACAAAAAAAAACCTAATTTTTATGCCAACCCAGATCTTAACATGGGAGCAATAAGTTAAAAAATGTTTCTCTACTATTTTTATCTAAATTTATATTCATTAACAAATTTTAAATTTCATTCAATAATCTCTAAGTGTTCAGTTTTTATAACCCTGCAAAGTTAACAGCTCCCTCAAATTAAAGGGGGTTAAAACTTTATATCGTCATAATTTTTGAAAAATATTCAAGTTACAAAATATATACTGTTGTGCTTTCACTTGCCTTATGACAAACAAAGTTAAACATATGCTTTATAAACATTTTTTGATGCAGTGTTATAAAATGTTTACAAGGAATTTAAATAACTTTTTTGATCAAAATTTTATCCAAATTATAAGAAATTTTCTGTATTCAATTTTTTGATATTACACAATCTATTAATTATATATAGCTGATGTGTTTTGATATTACAAAATCTATTAATTATATATAGTTGATTAATTATATATAGCTGATATCATGGGTTTCAAAGTAGAGGGGCACAATCATCAATTTCTAAAAAAAGTCCTATATCTAGACATTTTTCTGAGAAAATCAATCATTACAAAATGAACAAAAAATTAAAATATCAAAAATGACGCTCTTTTTATTTTTTTATTTTTGTTGTTTGTTAAGAGAAATTGTATTAAATATTCTTGCATAATGATAAAGAAAAGTATTTTTATTAAATTTCTTTCATGTTTAATAAATAACTATTATTCTTTATTTCTTTTTTTATGCATTATATAACATCTTTTTTCTTTTTTCTTTTGCTGAACATTTTTGATGGAAAAGTTAAGTTAGTAAAAATAAAATTTCTTATTACATTTGTAAATATCAAATGTAATTTTTATTCAAGTTTTTTTATGTAATCATCATTCAAACTTCATAAGTGGTTTTTATAAAGCTAATTACTTCTTTTATCTTACTGCTTGAGCGATATCTTTAGACTTGTTTAAATTTTAAAATTTATAAAATGATAAAATCTGTCTTGGAAGTCACACATCGATAATATTTCTAATAAAGTTATAAAAAACATTGGAATTCTATACAAATCTAGAGGTATTTTAAACAAAAAGCAATTAACACAATTATATTACTCTTTTATTCACTGTCATATCAATTATGCAAATATTATATGGGGAAGTACACATAAAACTAAACTTAAATCTCTTTATCGGCATCAGAAACACGCAGCTCGCATATTAAATTTAAAAAATCGTTTTTCGAACTCTGAACCATTTTATAAAGAAATGGATGTTTTAAATGTTTATCAACTAAATGTAACTTGTCCCCCAATGTATTTGTAAACCTTTACAAAATTAAACCCCAAAACAAATATAACCTACATAATAATAGCTTTTTAGGAAAACCTTTTTGCAATAATAAACAAGCTCAATTTTGTATATCTTATCGTGGACCTTTTCTCTGGAATGAAATAGTACGGCATAATTTTATTTTTTCATCTAAATTGACCTATTCTTTTTTCAAATAGTCTATTAAAAAAACCATTTTTTCAACAAACAAAAAAAAGTTTTTAGTTGCTATACTGCATAATGATTTGTTATGTTTTATTTTGAGTTTCACTTCTGAAGTATGTAGTGTCAAATTTATGGTATATTTAGTGATTATATATTCTCGGTATATATTTATTGTATATAATATATAGATGTTTTTATTGCAGAAGAAAGTAGAATTTTGTTAAGGGCTTCATGATAAGATCATTACGATCTTCTTGAAGTCCTGTCTGTATAATATTATAAATCTTGATGTAAATTAGGGCTGTACGGAATTTCGGCTCCTGCTCCGGCCGAAATCCGTTCATTTTTACAATCCGGCTTAAATCCGGCTCCGGCAAAATGTTAGCAAATCCGGCTTAATTTTGGCCGGATTTCTGAATTTTGATAGGATATGTATTACATCTTTCTTGCCCATGATAACATGTATACTTAATATTTTATTTTTACAAATCAATGTTTTTAGTAATTCTAAAGTCTATGAAATTTACATTTCTTTACAATTTAATTTAAAATTCTGAAGGGAAGACACACAATATTCTGCAATAATGCAGGTGTAAAGACTATGAATTCAATCCTAATCAAGTCATTGGATAAGCGTTTTAAAGGCATTGAGGAGAAACCTTTTTATATAGTGGTGACACTGGATGATCCATAATTTCAAACTAAACTCATATCATTACAGGCAACACTGACAGGTGAAAAAGCAAGATTGACGTCAATCTGAGCATGCTGAGCAGCAGATTGATAAAACTAAAGAAAATTCAGCAAAACAAGCCCAGCTGGATAATTCTTATACATTATCATCATAAAAATGGCAATACATATAGATGAAATTATTCAGTCTAGGCCCGCTGGCACTGCACATAAACAACAATTACCAACAAGCATTGACACTCAGCTACCCAGCTAAAAATTAACGTTCTAAGAACGTTACCATAACGTTCGTTTAGGTTTGAATAACATACGCTCCAGACGTTCTTTGAACCAATTTTTGTGAACTCCGATTTACAGTTCTTAAATGTTTGCTGAGAACGTTCAAACAATGAACGTTGATCTAACGTTTGCTGCAAACGTTACTTTGATAGCTCTTGAACTTCCACCCCTGCTAAAAATTAACGTTACCATAACGTTCGTTTAGGTTTGCATAACGTGCGCTGCAAACGTTATTTGAACAAATTTTTGTGAACTCCGATTTACATTTCTTGAACGTTCGCTAAACGTTCAATTAACAAACAGTGAACGTTCGCTGGAAACGTTATTTTGATAGCTCTTAAACGTCCACTTTAAACGTGTTATTACGAACACGGACATCAACCCAATTTTTTTTTTCTTTTTAATCTATAGATTTAAACATACTTTTTGTTTAAACCTAGGTTTGCTAGTATTTGTAATGTAATGCTTTTTTGAATTAACAAAGCCTATTTTTACTTAATAAATACAAATTCACCATGTTTTATAGCTGAATTACACCATATAAAGCTTATACGAAAACCCACGATTTACCTATTACATTTACGATTTAATATACATTTCGACCAAAAGCACACAATTAGCTGAGCTGATTACAATTAAGAAAAATAATACTTCTTGCGATGAAAAAGTTGATTTATTAGTACTAGTAGGCGCCCTTTAGGGCGTAAATAACAATTTACATCAATTTAAACTAAATTTTTATAAAACAACATGAACAACATAAAAATATAAACATGTTATTCCAGGGGAAAGTCCAGATAATTCCACTAAAAACATTAAAAACATGCACGTCGTGTGTAAAATATCAAACCTTATCATACATCATAATAAATAAAAACAATTCCTAATTAAAAACAAATGCTTTTTGTGGATTTGATAAACAAACTAGTTTTATTTATGAATTATCTATACACAAAAA